GGAGCGAGGCCGGCCGGCAAGGCTGCCAACGGGCTGGTGGCCAGCCCTGCCCTGAGGACCTCCACGCTCCAGGCCAGGAGACCCGCTCCCCGGCCAGGGATCTATGGCAGAGAGGGTGAGCGTGCGCCCGGGGCTGTGGCTCGTGTGGGGTCCCAGCTGAAGCGAGGCAGGAGTGCCGTTGTCCCAGGGAGAGCTGGAGGTGCCCGAGCCAACCCTCCCCGCTGCGCACCACGCGCTGGGATGACCAGAGCAAGTGGTGGGTTCCCACCTTGGGTCCTCTTGATGTAGCTCAGCAAGAGGGGTTGGGAGAGCAGAACAGCGTGAGATGCGGGCACGGTCCCGCAGCCCGAGAGTGTGATCCAGCCTCGGCCTCCTGAGTTGTCCCATTTTATTTCAGACAGTGGTAGTTTTGGTCTGCTGCTTACTGGGGGTGCAGCTGCTGTGGGGTTTTGGAGCAGCCTGCGGAGCCCAGTGCCAGTGCTGGTGCCAGCACCAGTGCTGTCCCTGCTCTGGTGGGCCAGGCAGGTGGCACCGGTGTCAGCTGAAGCACGCTTTCTGCGTGGCAGCTGCGCCTCTGCATACGCAGACCTTGACCTAACTCAGTGGACTCATAAAATTCAGGCTTGAGTAGTGATATAAACATCACTAAACCCAAAGCAATTTGTACCCAGTCTAACCAGCTGTAAGCACTCTGGATTGTCAGCGGTCTCCACAGCAGAGATGAGGAAAATGGCAAAAGTGACTTTCACATTTTAATTTCTGATCATTTTATCTGTCAGGCCCCCTGTGACAGGTTCTGACTTACCGAGGCTTTACTGGCAACGTTTATTTCAACGGTTCAACCATTGGTGTTAAATATAAATAATGATTATTATTTGTGTTCTAGTAAGCTTTGTACAGAAATTCATTACAGAAATAATTAGGTTGGGGCCAGCTGGCATTGTCCGTTTCAGTGGAGGAAGGCAGGTAGGCGTTTGTGTATCAGCGTGCCTGTAGATACTCTCCCCTGCGGTGCCAGGGAGCCGGTGGTGGGACAGCATTGCTGTAACAGCAGGTATTTGGTGCTGAGTTTTATAAAATACTCGAGACGATGGCCGTAATAAAAGATGTATTGCTCTCTGCAATTTGCCAGCTTTTCATGTGCACTTTCCAGTGCTTTTCAGATGCTGTCATACCCTGACAGCTTCACAGTCCTGTATTTAGAAAATAAAAACAGGGCTGCATTCTTGATAAATGACTCCCATGTGCAGCGGAGAGAAAGAAAAGGCCTGGCTGGGTAGCACTAACACCAAATTCATCTCACTGACACTACTGGCTCAATTTAAATTTGTCGCATAAATGGTAGGTGGAAATCAAGCCTTTGGGAGAGTAAGATAGCTTTTAAAGTTGGCTTATATGCCAACTGCATTTAGTGCTTCCAAGTTTTATGGTTTTGCATTATCACACGTAGTGTGCTGACAGCATGTCCTGGAGACACAGCGTAATAAAACTGGCTTTGTTGATCCTTGGACACATGCATACAGAAGAACACTGAAGTAGTAATAAAGTTATATTACATCTGTGTTGGTACTTGCAAGTCAGTGCTAGAATGCTGTATAGAGCTTTAATGTGCGCGGTTTGGGGATAATTTTGAAAAAGTGGAGAAACCAAGAAGAATTATAGGCTGAAGGATTAGAAAACAGGCCTTTTGCTGAGAAATTCAGGTTACACAGCTTACCAAGGAGAAAATTTAGGATCAGAATTTAAAAATGCAAGTATGGAAGAGAGTTGGTTAAGGACTGGTGTTTGAGCTAGCACACCAGGGTATAATAAGGTTCAGTAACTAAGGGGTTGACAAAGCCTTGGTTAAGTAGTTGCAGCAATTATTATCCTACCAAACAGAAAAACATGTTTGACTTATTTCTAATCAGAAACAGGACTCTCTAGCCATGGAAATGTCTAAATTGGAAGGGCAGAAACCCAGCCCTTATATGGTTCTGAGCCATTTAAATGGCCAGACGAGAAGATCACAAGGATTGCTGCCCTGCGGAAATGCGCCCTGGAGATCTGGGTGCTGGAGGGAAGGTGTGGGGTCACCAGGGGTGTCAGGTAAATCTCACACTTATATGTAATGAGGTCAGCTGGATCTTGGGGAAGAAAAGCAGCCAAGGCAGAAGCACCTGTGAGCAGAGCAGAAAGCCGAGAGAGAACAGGTAGTGCCACTGTCGGAGACAAAAGCTTGGAGAAGCAGCGGCCCCCGACTGCAGGGATTGCCAATTTGTGCTATTCCTCTCACTTTTGAAGACAGCACAGCACAGGCTTTGTGTAAGAACACTTGTTCATTCCCAGGCAATATCATCTTTGCAATCAGCAGCCATGGAAAGTTCATCATCACAGGGTCCAGCATCAGCCCTTCTCTCTAGTGCCAGGAAGGCTGTGCTGGGACAGGCAGAATGGGAACTGCCTTTTCCTGGGTCTTTTTCCCTAAATTCTGGCTATTAGTTGCTGTCGTAGAGAGGATGTTGAGGCAGGCAGATAGACAGACAGACAGAACTAAGCCTGCTAGCTTGCATAGTGCCTCTTCATAAAGATCTAGCCCTCCACCAAAGCTTCGTACTCAGTGTTTGCAATCCTCAACCTTGCAGGAGAGTGCGACGGTGTCCCTAAGCCACGATCCCATGGTGATAAACCCGTGATAATGCGTCCCCCCGTGAGACCTCCGGACCCACCATGCAGGACTCCTGTCCCTCCGAGACTGGAGCAGAGGCCGGATCTGATAGCAGGAACAGCAGAAGAGATGCCTTCATCCGTGTAAGTCAGCAGTCCTCCAAGGCACACGGTACCCAGGATGGGGAGCTCGGCCCAAGGGAGCTGCCGGCACCCGGGGGCTTGGGGAGTGTGCGGGGGGACGAGGTCAGTCGGGGTGGGAGGAGTAGGAGCTGTTGTCACCTGCCAGGAATTTTGGAAGAGGAAGAGGAGAAATACCATGTTGGTTTCCAGCGCTGGTAGTGTACAATGGCTGGAGCCTGTGGACATCCTCTTCAGTATTGATGCAAGCATGGGTTTGAACGTGATGTTGGACAAGCTGTGCTGAGGGCAGGGCCTGGGAGGGGAGCGTGGTCATAACAAAGGCAGACATACGCAGGAAAAACAAAGCTCTGAACCTTCTCAAGTACAGCCCTGGGGCTGAGCTTTGTCCCATCACCTTCTCTGCTGGTTTTCGTGTCAGTGAAGCTGGAGAGCCCCTCCATGCCTGGCTCTGAGCAAGCCTCTCAAATGAGATGCTTCCCCGGGAAGGACAAGATCCAGCTTGGATCTCTCATAGGGAAACTGGATGGAGTTCAGCTTCATCATCAGATTTCTTTTAGATTTTAAAGAGACAGAAATCCCGTCTCTTTCAATGGCAATTAAAAAAAAGAAAAAAGGGTGACTAAATACACGGGGATCTCAGCCCAGCATCCAGGACCAGTTGGTCGGGAGGCTGTAACCTGGGTGCTGCTGTGGAGTTTGTTGCTGCTGCACATCCAGCAAAGATGCACATTTCTTTCCCCTGCCATCCGAGCAGGGCGGCACCCCAAGTCTGTGCTGACCCCTCACCCAGTGCTCTGCCACTGCGCCGCAGCCCTGGGGTGCGCGGGGGCCACCCTGCGGGACCTCACCCTGCCCATAGTGACACGAGGTGCAAAACCATTTGTCACGAACTGAAGTGCCAAATGGTTAGTGTACTGTGGAAGCCACTCAGTGACCATCTCCGGCAGTGGTCCTGGGGGAAGCGCCTGCCATGGGAGAGCTCCCGAGTTCACTCTGCGTGGGCCCTGCTCTCTGCAGAGACCACCCAATGAAGCCACACTGTGTAGATGATCCAAGTCCTGCGTTTTCACTCCCTAGCCCAGCAAAGGTGCCGTGAGGTTCGGCTCTGCACCTGCAGGGCAGGAACAGGCCTTGTCTTTGCTCTCCTGAATCACTTGTTAAAACTTTTCTTTCTATGAGGACACTTGAAAGCTAAATATGAAGCAGGCAAAAACTGAAAGAGAGGTTGTAAAAAGTGATGGATGCAGGTTTATAAACCAGCACGTAGGATTCCATGTGAGAGCATGGAAATAAGCAGTCTAGCTAGAAGCGATAAAGGCTGCCTGGCCAGGGCAGTGTGAAGGCAGAGGGGAATGGAGCTGGCAGCAGGAGGAGCTGCCTCAACAGAAAAGACATCGTTAGAAGGTGATTGTCTTAGTGTCTGCTAATGCTGCTCTTCTTTTCCCTGGCACAGATGAGATCTAATTAGCAAATTGCCTTATCAGATAACTGGAGTGACCTCTCTTGTTCTCTTTGCAGAGTGGCCTCTAGGACAAAGTTCTTTGAGACAGCTTCCCGAAGAACAAGCAAGTAAGCCTGGCACTGGGAAGTTGGCATGTAAATAAAAGCAGCCCTGCTGCGTAGGGTGCTCCCTCTGAAGCGGAGTGAGTCACCTCGGGAAGCCCCAGCCTCAACCTTTCTTGCCTCTCGTACTTGTGGGCCGAAGATGGGTCTCAGCTAAAATGCTGGAACTAAACAAAGAGCACAAAGCGTAAAATCCAGATACAGACTTGATAAGTTAAATGTAAATCTGCTAAGTAATACGCATACCTATGGATTGCTCTTATCATGTGTGTGAATCTAAGTCAGCAGTAGCGCACTTTGTATTTGCTTCTCAGCCTTTGCAAAGAGCAGAGATAACATCATGAGAGAGTTGAGGAGGGCTGGTTAGATTGCAGCAGCTGATCAGAGATGTGAGACCAGAGAGTGAATGGTTCTACACACAACTTATCCGTGAGCATAGCTCAACCGCAGAGAAGTACGGTGTGATGGAGCAGTAGCTTGGGCACTGAAGCCTTCGGGCTAGGCTGGGACAGCAGGGCTTTGAATCGCAAGCATTGTGCTTTGTGGAAGCAGATTTCACTTCTAATAATAGCTGCTCAAATAAGCTTCAGCTTCCCGCTTTTAAAGATCACCGACCTCTGCCAAAAGTGCGAGCAGGTTTGCATGCAGGTCTGATAAATGTTGTCTGCTAGTGTTGCCAGTGAGTTCACTTGTTACATTGAAAAATATATCCCTGACCTGACTGTTACCCAGCCCCGTATTTAGGTTTATGGATCTGTGTTTGAGCTTGTTTATTGCATTAATTATTTCTTTTTCTGTATTCTTCTCCTTCCTTATATACAGTTCTTCATCACCACAAGGCAGGATCCCAGGTGATGAGAGCTGAGGCTAAAGGTACGTGTTTATGACAATAAACCAAAAGCACACATCCAGCATAAACTCAGCATTTCTAGGGTGGGGAGAGTCCAGTGGAGGCAATGGGAATCTCAACAGAAAGATAAGGAGAAAAATAATGACTAGAGGTGGGCCATGCTCTTTGTTGGGGGTGGTAGTATGGCAGGGTGGAGTAAATCAGCCTGCTCTGCCCTTCCTGAGCCTCCTCGCTGCAGCGCTCGGGGTAAGTGTGAAAGCTATGCGAACAGTGGTGCCGAGATCTGGGTTTGCTCTGGTTGGGGTTTTGCCATCGCTGATGAATTTACACTGCTGCATAAAGCATGCTGGTTTTCTTCTTCTAGGCATTGTAACCACCTCAGCCCAGCTGGACCCAGGAGATTTTCTGTTCCTGTGAAACAGATGTGTCACAGCTAAGACTTTCCCAGTTCCAGTGCCCCTGGAGAGCAGCTATCTTACTGGACGATAATTTCAGAGCATGCTGTCACAAGCGGCTCAAGAAATTAGAAGAGAGGGAGATAACGTTGGAGAGAAGACCCTACCCACACGTTTGTGTTGAACTATTCCCAGTCCTTCCGCCACTCCTCTCTGCGCAAGCTGTGAAGGATGCTCATGTGTGCCCTTGCAGGTGACTGGCTGTGTTTGCAGGGCTGGCTGAGCACCGATGGGCTGCGGAAGGGACAGCGGAGGATGGGAGTGGCCGTTTACCTGCTCACTTTTTGGGAAATGCGCCTTGGCAAGGCTGACCTTGGACAGACATTGGAGTCAAAACGCAAGGGGCTGACTCCCCATGCTTGGATGCAAGGGTAGAATGACTGGAGTTTGGGTTGGCCACCCCTTGCCGTGAGAAGCTCCCTCCTTTATGTTATGTTTTCCTCGCTCATTAAGCTATAGTGTGTTTTTCAGTGTGTAAGGAGAGCAGCGTATGTTATGGGAAACACTGCTTGTGCTAAGGCAGGCAGGACAGGAATTTGGGGGACCATTGTGCTTAGCTCTGCGGGATGTCTCTTCATCTTCTCCCTGGCATAAGCATGCCCTTGTCCTGGGAAACCGCGCTGGCAGACGCGGCCGTGCCAGGGGACTTTGCCTGAGCGGGGACACATGCCCTGCCTGCAGGTCAGCTTTCCGGGCAGCCCCGGTCTTGTCAGCAGCCTCCAAGAGTGCAGCTGGGAGAAGGAGGTGGCAAGTTCTCCTCCTCCTCCTCCCATGTGAGCCTCTCCCACCAGATCTGCTTCCCACAGGCCCCCCAAAAAGTCTCTGTCCTGGGATTATTCTGGTGGGCCAGCACAGAGGAGGCGAGGAACTGAAACTCGCTGAATATGGGTAAAAGCCCACCTTTTTTCTAAGAGGCACCCAGTTTCTTGTTTGCTTGTTACGTTAATTTCCAATCCAAGAGATGTCCATCTCTTTTGCTCAGCAGCAGCCGTGTAGATGATGCTCTTTAGTCTGGAAGGTTTCTCCTAGCCAAGACCGCCCCTAGTACCCCTCTTAACAGTAGAGGCTTATTTGTGGTACCGGCTGACACTAGGGCTCAGTTCCTGAGCTGTAGCATTTACCTGTAAATAGGCGATGAGCAGCTTCCCTGCTTCCTCTCACCAGCCCAAAGGCAGCTTCCCTATTTTGAATGATTTTCCTTGGGTGCTGGGAGCATTCCCAAACCAGTGGCCAAACATCCCCATTTGCTGCTTCCCGGGTGCTCCCTCCTCTTGAGCGCGCTTTGTGTCCTGCCTGGCGTGGGTTTGCCGGTGGGATGCTGCCGCGGTCCTTCCCGTGCTGTCTCCGGACACTCGCCTTGTGTGTGCATCTAGCGCCTGTCTGCTCTATCGCTGAATGTAATTCTGGCGTTCACTGTACACACATGTGTCGTGTCAATGGTGCTTCTCCTCCCTCGGGCTTTGGCAGTGCCCCAGCTGCTCCTTCCTGTACTCCTGCTTTGAGCAGTGGCACATTAAAGTGGCTTTAAAGAAAAAAAACAAACCAACCAACCAGTGATATCAACACCTAGACTGTATTACGCACACTGGCATCTCAGGGCTTTGGAAAGCTACGGTGAGCCCTTTCTGCTGCACCCTCCTGCGAGCGTCCGGGAGGCGTGAGCAGCACCGAAACAGCACATCATGTTTTTCTGATCAGGTATCTAAGAGAGCAAGTAAGGCTGTGAGCCAGCGAGTCTGAAGGAGGCAGAGAGGTGCCCTGACCAGCCCAGAATGGCGGTGATTGCTGGGAAAGCCTCTCCAGCAGCCAGGCAGTGGAGGCCCCTGGTCTTCTACTGCAGGCAGGCACTGGTGCCCGAGCTTGCCCTTTGGTGGCTTTGTCACCTCTTGGGGTGGCTGTCCTGGAGGTGTAAGGTCAGTAGTTCCTCCACAGGAGTCCAGCGTTTCCCAAAACGCCTTCCCCTTTTGGGGCTGTGCATTGAGGACCCCTCCAGGCTGTCGGTTTGGGAAGCACTTGGGCTTCCACAGACACTGGTGCCACATGGTGGCACTCCCCACGCTGCATGTGGATGCTGCGCAGTGCTGGCACCCACAGTACCCGTCCCGTTGGAATCGGGGGCTGTTGCATCCCCCACACCGCTCGTGTACAGTCAGCCTCGTGCTCGCTGCCCGCCGCAGATCCTGCGGGACAGAGCTGGGGTCCGTGGGAAGAAAGAAGTCCAAGGGAGTTTGGTTTTAAGTCTGACATTGTGAACAATGGAAGGGAGCAGCTTATTAGAAATGTATTTCATTGTGTCATTTTAAAGTCATTTGTCATGTGTGTGCCTGTGCTGGTTTTTCCTCCTCTGTGCACACAGCTGAACGCTGGGGACCAACAGTGGAGCGGTGGTTTGGTTGTGCTGGTGGAGGGCTGTGGGGCACAGGCACTGCTGCCAGTGCCACTGGAGTGACACAGCTGGGAACAGGGGATTCACCCTGTGCAGCGCGGCAGGGCCCCCACACATCAGCCATCGGAGCCGTTTTGTCATGTTAAAAGCATAGGTTACTTCAAGTGTTTATAAAGTTTCCATGAAGTAAAAAAAGAAGAGTCCAAGTGTGGTTTTTTCTCTTCTTCGAGCAACCCCCAGTGTTGCACAGGCTGTAGCCGTCCTCTGCTGTGCAGATCCCACTGCTCGGGTCGCACGGGTAGCGCAGGACCCATCCCAGCACCGGGGGGATGCAGCCAACCCGCCCCGTGCATAGCCAGGGCACACGAGCGTGGCTCTGGTGAGTGGGTTTGCGCAGGGGTGGGTTGTTCTGCCTGTTACAGAGAGGCATGTTTGACACTACGTGTTTTTTAAACGTTTTCTCATTTTTAACTTAAGCTGCCTGATTCCTGTTCAGCTGCCTCTGTCAGCATAAACACCTTTCTGCTTATTTATGATTATTGCAGACACAACACCAGCTTCTATCCAGCATCCTTTTCCCCTCCTCACATCTGTTTTCCCATCCCTCTCAACTCTGACGTTGTGACATTGTGCACCAGCATTTGCTTTTCAGCTTCTTGCTTTTATTTAACGAACAGACCTCTCACAGGAGAAAACAGGGTTCTGTCTTAAATGGGAGTCTTGCAGCCTGATTTTGGGCCTGAATTTATGGAGAAGTGCCCGACTGAGGTAACCACACAGGAGGTCACAGCAGCGTGCGAGGGGCCAGAAGAGGGAAGGTGTTCCCGGGGGAAGCGTGGGGTGGGCGAGCTGCCCCCACCGCTCAGCAGCCTGCACGCTCTGCTTCCCTCCCCGAAGAGGCGATGCAGCCTCTTTCTACAAGATTTCCTAAATACACCCTTCGCTTCTTTGTTGAGGGTTGTTTTGTTTTGGTTTTTACCCTAATAATGTGGTGGAAAAGGCTGCAGCTCAGGAACCGCTCAGGCAGTCTGAAATGAATGAATGAAGCTCTGGTGT